AAAAATAGGTTAGGGGGTTGAAAAAATAGGTTAGGGGGTTGAAAAAAGAGGGCGGGGGGTTGAAAAAATAGGTGGAGGTTGGAAAAATAGGTTCGGGGGGTTGGAAAAATAGGTGACCCAATTAAATTCATGACATAATCATGCCATAAAGAAATGGGCTGGAAGGGGACTTCCCACACAAAAGAGGTGGGCAGTGAAGATGAGATTGACATCATATGATGCTAGAATGAGTGTGTTGGGCTTGTTGCCGCCCCTTCGCGACGAAGGAAGTTTGACACAACAGTTCGAGGGCAGTGCATTCACATAATACCCTATGGTGCCTGTGTTTGTTTTGCCTTTTGCATGCCCGTGGTGCCAAGAGCGACCAGTTTGCCTACCATGTTGCACAGTTTAGATAACCCAAGCACAATTCACATCGACCGGTTCGGTGGCTAGTTGCTTTTGAAGATCAACTGTGTGCCGATCAGTGTTTTTGTGTGGCATTATCCTAAACATCCTTTGACCTATCAGACAGTAAATCTTATTCGCCACAGAACATTCCATCGGATTTCTCGGAGAAAATCCCTTTGTTGAAGTAGCTCTTGGGATGACCTGCTGCCCACCTAGGAATTCCAACGAGTGCTTGAGGCCAGGACACAGAACACCGTTGACGACCGAGATTTGGCCTGGTTTCCTTCCCCAACTTCCCCGCACCACCAGTTCAAGAAGCGCTGCCGGTACCATGACTTGCATTCATGTTTGGTTGGATCGACTAAAATTGTAGAGCCAGGCAACATTTACATGGTAATGTTATGTTCCACTTCCATGATCGTTTTAGGGAATGTAGACTGTTGACAATCTCCCATTTCTTCAAATCTCCCATTTTGGCAAAACCTCTCCATATGGGGCGTCTTATCCACATAGATCATGGATCAAAAGAATCGTTTCAGATTTTTCCTAAGGTCCTAAGGTACCTGGCCTTCCTTGATCTGGATCAAACATCTACGGGATGGAACGGGAATTCCGTTAAACATCATGAAACTCTAGTGGATTTGGTTGGAAAAAACAACAAATCTAGACCATACTGAGAGCATTCATGTTGATTATGTCAATTTGTCAGGGTCTGGCAAGAAGTACGTGGACACAGGATGGACAAGTTTTTGGATATTCCATTGACAGGCTTCTTACAACAAATCGACGCTTCTTTTCTAGCTTTTTAACATCCCTGGATCCTGGACCTTCAAAACGCTCAAAGAGACATAACAAGACGGACATAAAAGAAGTCCAAAGGTGCCCAAGAACGGAGGCAGGTCGACCATTTGGTGGATTGGTCAGAGGCAATGACTTATACCATATCCATCCGAACAAAAATACATGCAGTAGATAGCTCGTGAATAGTTTCAAAGTCCAACAATAATGTGGGCAATCCGAAATGCTCCACATTTTTTTTTATATACATCTACTTGAGGGTGACTAGATTCGGTCTTTACCAAATGTATTGTGTGGTTCCGGGTACCACACTTTCACCACTGTTCCCTTCCATAAGCTCTCCCACGGTTTCTTGATGCCAATAGTCATAGACGGCATCAGGAAGCCTTGTTGGTCCGGCACTCCAGGCTCGGAAGAGGGGCACGGACATCAAGCGCGATCCAGGCCCAAGTGGGTCATGTCCACATGTCCTGGGTGTCCACCGACTGGGACACCGCAGTGGAGACTCCAACGAGAGGACACCTGCAGAGAGGACATCCGGTGGCATCGGAATCCTTCTGGATTCCGAACCCGCTTGGAGGTTTTGGAGGTTCCATGGTCCATGTAGTCCCGGGATTCAGCATTGGCTCCCTTAAAAGGGCAACCAGTGGTTTGGAAAACGAGCGGACACCAGACAGCGCAGCGGATCCGATCTGATCAGAATGGCTTTACATCTCCGAAGGCTGATGATCGCAGGTTCCACTGCCCGTTTGGTTTCGTGGCTTGGACAGAGAAGTCACGCAGGACTCGCGCTAGACATCAAGAGTCGCCCCATGATGCAAAACACTGGTTTGACCCACAGACACCTTGGGGTAAACCAACCATCGAAGGAGTCGCCAATGAATGAACTACCCAGACATACCCGTGCTATTTATAGATATATAGTAATGTAATACTTATATAATTTATATATAGGCTTCCATTGGACACCCTGCGGTCTTGGGAACATTCACAAGTAGCCTATTGAATTCTGGCGTCTGTGCCCAGGTCGTGGTGAAGCATGGTGACCAGAGGGCTTTTTGATGCTTTTTGTTTGCACGCCCAATCACCCTGCAGTATGCGAACGGGGCCGATTTCCGGGAATCTTCTTCACTCCAAGGCGCTTTTGGTTTCGACCTCGACCGGACCGGGGTGACCACCGGACGCGTCGCGACCTTCGGATTCGAGGCCTGAAGGAAAGCAACGATTTTGAGGCGACCAGGGTGACCAGGGCGACCAGCGACCCGAAGTTGCAACCAAGTCTATGAAGCTCAAACGCGGTGACACATTGAATGACAAGTAGATACTCAGTAGTTCACTAACAAGGCTCAGGTACACCAAAGATCGACTTTCTTGGGATTTCTCGGGGATGAATTTCTGGTGGAGCTCAGTCATGTTGTTTCATGCTGTTTCGCTTTAGGATGTGTTGGACTTCCAGATAGACCATACGGACGGGAACAATTCAGGCTCAGGACTCCGGACAGTGATTTGGGGTGCTTGACGATGGATGTTAATTAACAGAAACCTTTTCTTCTAAAGGCTGGAATCTAGACATGCTTTGAGGGTCCAGGTGTATGTGAGGAGGGCACTTTCTCATGGAGCAATCTGCAGTTTGACTCGGTCCATGGTGACTTTGCATTGCATTCCAACTGAGGGGTTCAGGCCAATTGTAACTGGTTCCCATGTCTCACTCAGGAACACGAAGGAAATGCATTGGGCTCCCGATCGGTGCATGCATCGATCGGTTTGGGGGGTCTCATGACCTGCAGATGGGGAAATAGTTTTTGGGGTATGGGTCTTGGGGTTTGAGCGATGGTCTCGCCTGGCTCCAGATCCCGCAGACCCCGCATCCCCTGGAGGCCCTGGCCATGCACCCACCTGGCTAAGCGCATGAGTAGCGGATACCACCGATGGACCAATCGACTCATAGGATTTGATCGGCTTGTAGAGGTAAACCACACAAGGGTTGAACTGTGTTGAACTCATCACTTGCTCCCCCCAAACCTCATCACTTGCGGCCCAACATTCGAAGTTCCGCAAGCTTTTCAGATGTTCTAAGCTCTTCCATGTTCTTTCCCAAGCTGTTCGCATCTCAGTTCACACTCGGCTCGATACTCTCGGCTCGGCTCGAGGTGGCCCTGCGCCGTGCACAAGCCGCAGCGGGCTCCATCGACTTTGGGAACGTGGTGACATGGGTGGCCCACCGTCGTCGACGTGGGCGGACGTGGGACGTGGCTCAAGGAAAAGAAGACATGCAGACATGAGTTACTATAGTTGTCCGGATCACGAGTGTTTTTCTTTTTTTTCCGGGAACCTACACTGATTGTAAGGGCCGAATGTATCAAGGAATATGACAACTTACCAGACGGGGGATGCTTTAGGCAATCTTTTGGTGGAGTTTTCTCAAGGCTTGTGGGTACTCGTTGGGCCACTGGGCTTGGTCGCCGCAACGGGCGGGAATGCTCAGGACATGGAATGGCGTCCGTGGGTGCTGCCCGTAGCCACGTCTGAAGCGTTGGATCTTGCTTGTAGAAGAAACAGCCCCAGCAGAATGCTTAACACTTGTCAGGTTCATCGGCACCAGATATAATACAACACACACTCTAATTAATCGCATCCCATTTGTAGAGGTCTTCGAAACTCTAGCAGCTTGGAGAAGAATGATTCCAGACATGCCAGACAAGCGCCCCACCAAAAGGCTCCCAATCTTGCCACTCCGGGGGAAGCAAGCCACAAGACATCGCAGCCTCCGAGATCGGTGCTCGAAGACGGTGTTCCTTCGAGAAAGAGCAGATCGGCCAATTTTTGACGATAGAGATGCTAGCACCATTGGCTATACTGTAATATTTAGCTAATTATGCTATAGCAGGTGACTATGATGGCTATACTTGTTTTTAGTCTATAAAGTTATATATATATATATATAACTACACTACATACATCACAGGGCTCCCCTGGGGGGTTGCACCCACCGGCTTCAGCAGACTTAGCTCGGAGAGAGCTTCTCTGACAGATGTTCTAGGCCTAGACCATCAGATCCGGAGATACTCAATTGTTTCAACATAAATCATTAATAGTTAGTGGCTGCAAATTAGATACCTTTGCATGCTGTTTCATTTATTCAAGTTCAGGAACCTCGATGGGCACTTGTGGGATGAGTTGTCGCTTTTGGGATCTGTGCTCATTTCACTCAGCCTCGGGGCCACACACTCTGGGCGCCTTGCCCAGTCCCCACGCGAACATCTCGACAGCCATGGGCGCGATGCCCGATGCCCTCGAGGGAGCGACGGCATGGGCGAGTGGCCCGAGCGGCGGCATCGCAGCTTCTCCTTCCGGCCCCTCCAGGCATCGCGGTACGCTTTGACCCATCCGGAAGTTGGGTCAGATGGGTCACCACTGATCAGTTCAGTGATTGGTACAAAAGTTGGGCGAACCAAGTTCGTGTGCAGAACGAAGGGAAGCTCTAAGCTGGGACTTGTCTCCTCGGAGCGAAGTTGTGACAGGATTTGGCATGGTACCAGTCCTACAGTACCGGTTGGCAAGTTGACGTCATGGAACTTGAGTTTTCAAATGATTGGAACCGTCGCGGTCGGGCAAAGATCTCGGTGAGCCACCTTATGTTGCCTCTTTGGCCATGTCCTTTTTGGGGAAACAACACTGGCTTGTCAAGAGCTCGACATGAATGATTTAGATCTGACCATAGTGATCGGACTAGTGCTCGACATATGAAGACACGGATGGCGCACCGGCTCCGAACGATGGAGGGCACAGAGAGCTCAGAGATCCTCGTGCAGACTGACTTTTACCAGGACTGTGAATCTTTGACAAAGGGGTAGGTCTCCAGGTCCCCCACAGAATCTGTGTGCCCCAAAACTCGAAGTGTTCGAAGGCTTGGTGTTACGAAGGATGCACACAGAAGGAGGGGTTGGCCCAGAGTGCGAAATAGGCTGAGGAAGGAGGAGGAAGGAGGAAGATGAATGTTTGGTAGCCGAAGAAATCAGAGCAAATATAGTGTACTATAATAGTTGTGAACATGTTTGATGGTTCTTTCTTCATGTTTGTCAACACCAATACCAATATATAAATATATCAATGTAGACATGTGTGGTTAGTTGGTTTAAGATGGTTTAAGAGTTCTTTGCAGGGTTGCAGGCTTCCAAAATGGAATGGTAGGGTATGGCAGTGTTTGAGGATTTGGGTGTA